TTCTTTCTTTCTTTCTTTCTTTCTTTCTTTCTTTCTTTCTTTCTTTCTTTCTTTCTTTCTTTCTCTCTCTCTCTCTCTCTCTCGCTGTTTCTTTTCTTTTCTTTTTCTTCTTTTTTTAAACATTTAGAGGTCAAGCCAAAGGAGGACTGAGAATTGATCATTAGATTTCGCAGCATGGAAGTCATTGGGAACCTTGCCAGGAGAAAGTTCGGTGACGCAGGTGGAGGAAAGCCTGAATGGACTACGTTCAATAGAGAACGTGAAGAGAGGAATAGGAGATATTGAAACTTTGTAAAGGCTCTTGCTGAAAAGAGACGTACAGAACTGGAACACTAGCTTAGGGAAAGGAGGCTGCTATAAAGGAAAGTTTTGCTTTGTTTTGTTTTTGAAGGTAGGTGTATATTTCTAAGGAAATCTATAAGAAAGGGAAATTGATGATGCCTGAGAAAGGGAACAATCTCAGGAAGGTCATTTTATCTGTAAAAAGTCATAATTCCACCTCGTTGGGACAGCTGAGCCAATGAAGAAAGACAGTAATCAGGTTTGGAAGGTGGTTTGCAAATCCATGGAAGCTCTATACCCCTGGGAAACAGTGAGGCAAACAAGATCGGCCCCTGTGCGGGATGTATGCCTCCTGCCACAAGCAATTGAGCAAAGGTGTGCAAACCCTGGTCCGTCTTTTAAGTTCTTCCCAGAGCTACAAAAGAGGTGCTCTCTCCCTTGGTGAGGGATGGGGCCAAGTCCCTACCCTGGAACGTGGCTGGAAGATGCTTTCTCATAGTGAAGAAGGTGGGAAGGGAAGAGGTTGGATCTTGAGAGAGGGGGAAACGCCCAAAGCGTGAAGGACACACCGCTTGGGACACTTCATCCATCAGTCCACATCCGACAGGGGCTGAGGTCCCAGTGGCATTTCACACCACGTTCACTCCGTAAATGAATGTCCCCTTATCAATAGGGAGTAGTTGGCAGAACAAAGAATGTGTGCGTGTGGAGGCTAGAGGTGGGTGGGTGGGTGCCTTAGCACAACGCCAGGGGAGAGTGAGTGCGGATAGGAAAAGTGTGTATGACATGAATGGAAAGAACCGAGAGTGAGTGTGGAGATGGGCAGGGAAGAGCTGGACGCGCCCCAACAGCCGGGGGCCTCCCAAGGGAACGTCCGCCAGTGATGCGGGAGCGCCCGCGGAGGAGCCTCCTTCTCCCCACCCACCTCCCGAACTCCGGCAGTCAGTGGTGCATATAGACATATTTCTGGGAGCTGTCCATGAGCTCATCGCTCTCCTGGCGATAGCGGTAGCGGCTAGGGAAGCAGCCTCCTTTCTCCCGGCGCCGCCGCTAGAATAAGCCCAGCCGCTCGCACGTTCAGACCACACGCGCCGGGCGCGGCGCTGGGAAGGGGCAGCT